TACGTCCTTGATATTAAATTATCTGCCATTCCTATAATTGTTTTCCAGTAGCCACAGAGAAGTAACCAAAAGCAATAAATAAGCGAGTTAATAATCAAATGCATTGATGAAGGAAACCATGAACTAGAAATGCAGGGAGACCCACGAAGAAGAAATAGATACAATACGTCAGAAGAAGAGATCATTGTAGCTTTTTCCAACTCCGTTATCCAGAAAAAATCTGTTTTGGAAGTGACCTGTGTTGTGGTAAGGTACCCCTCCATCATGGCCCAGGATATGGGCTGGGCTCTGTGGCCGTGAGGATGGTGGCAGTGTTGGTGGGTAATTGAAAGCTAGCTGCCTAGGGCACTGAATTCCTCTATGGGTTAGCTGAACTGAAGTTTCTATATAAAATTACTGCTTAGATATTTAACACTTTTTCATGAAAATATTTTACAGTGTCCGCAGTATCTCGTTTATGGTCTGTTTTCTTTTGATGCAACCTTTTTCTTTATGATAGCTTCCTTTTTTGGCACAGTCAGATGTTTCAGCTAATCATCCATGTTTCCTCCTGCACCTGTCACTGCCCTTGTCATTGGTGAAAGGTATTTAGAAAAGTCACAGTCTGGATGTGACTCAGTTACCACTGCCTTCATAAGGGACAGAACCAATAAAAGTGTATTTCAGAAACAAAACACAATGAATGTGCTCATAATACATCTTTAATTCAAATTTACTATGGCAGGATTTTTACCTAGTCCGTTTTACTTTAAACCTATGTTTATTTTCTCTCATACTGAAAATGCTGCTTCCAAAATAGTCTCTTTTTTTTTGCTTCTTTGCTTTACCCAATCATACATGAATTAGTTTCAACGCAATGTCACCAGTATTGCCATTATAATAAACAAACCAGAACAAGTTTCAAGAGTTCTATGCAGTTCACTTTTTCTTTCATATGTATATCTCTGAGTTTGAATAGAAGAGTACATTATGTTCCAAATTAACCTGGACAGAAAAATATAACATACTTTAAATCAACTGTGATAGGTAGTTAGTTTCATTAGTTTTGATTATAGATAATTGAAGGTACTTTTAACTTTCTGATTCAATTTTATTATGATTTTTTGATTATGTAAGACTTTTAAAAGGTTGCAAATCAGAAACCATATAACAAGATATTGAGGTAAAGGCTCACCTCCATTCCTGCCTCCTCCATTTTGAGTCTCCCCTGCCCCCCATATAGAGATCTGGAAAAAATTATATACACTATTCTATACTGGGCCTTGTCCACATAGGAATCACATTACATCACTGCATCAAGATCACATTCATTCTTCCTCGTGGCTATAGTGTACCTCACTGCATTATACACAGGATTTAATCACTCAGGTCCCTTTCAAAGGGACAGTAAGTTGTTTCCAATCATTTGTTATTAAAAAGAATACCACCATGAGCATAAGTGGTCACGTTATATTTTTGCCAATGTATCTTGGTGATAGATTCACAGAAGTGGAGGGTTAATTCACTGTGCAATTTTTCTGATGTTGCCAACTATCCCTCCATACCTGTAATGTTTTTGTTTTTGTTTTGTTTTTTCCCAAGTTCACCAGTAATTTATGAGACTACCCATTTCTCTATAGCATCATTAACAAAATATGGTATCATGCTTTTGGTATTTTATCCATCTGATGCCAAAAAAAAATGTACATTCATCTTTCTCTTACTATAAGTGAGGGTAAGCAACTTTCATATGTCTAAGGACATTTTTTTTCTGTGAATGCTGAGTTTATATCATTTATACATTATGATATTCTATAATTTACTGCATGCAAGATATCCTTCTCATACCCAGGATTCATTTTGTAAGTGTAACCATATAGTTATTACATATTTCACCACTAAGAACATTTCCCTTAATTTTTGACTGGATAAATACATATTTGCCAAAGCCTAAATCATGTCCCTGGTAGAAATTTTATAGCCATTGACATTTTACACAATAGCTGAAATTCTTCAAAAACCTGAAAAGTATGTTCGGTAGAATAGACATATGAAATGCAAAAATGTATACATATGCATAAGGTCCAGGAAATAATATAGCAAGTGTGTGTGGGCAACAGTGGGTGTTTTTATGATGGTTCTGCATTTTCACAGGGTTTAAAATAGCCCTCGGTAATTTTATACACCCATGGAAACAATACTGATCCTTCTAGGACACTGAGAAAATAAAATCCATTCAGAGATTAACTTCTTACCTGTTTATATTCCATTAGCTCCCATGAACTTCACGCTGCTTCCAAAGATACACTTTTCGAATGTGGAATGCTAGGAGACACAAAATGGTCACACTGAGGGACTGAAGATCTAAAAGCAGGTGGCCACTAGGCACTCCATCCACGCTCTCCCTATTGCTTTCCAGGGGCAAATCAAATGAAAACGAATTTCAGGATTAGCCTTAATGGGGAAAAGGAGTAGCACCGTTACAGCATGAAGCCAAGCCTCCACGCTCCACAGGAGCTCTATTCTCCCCTCCTGGAAATGTGCCTGATTTTACTGGAGACAGGTAAGAACTTGAATATGGTTGTGAACATCCTGTTGTAGTTTGTATTTCTCCTTCACCTCGCCTGGCTCTCTCCTTAAATAACAACATGGAGAAGGGAGATGCCACATTGTCTGGAAAGGGGCAGGGAGGTGGCAAGAGACAAGGTTCAAGACAAGGACCAGCCCCAATCATCAGGCAAAGGAGACTTTGCTCAATGGATGGTCACCTGTGTTTTGATTTGCCATTTGAATGAATAATTATAAAATACTTATGAAAATATCCATAACACACTTTTTTTTGTAATTTTATTGTGGTGAGAAAACTTGTCATGAGATTTACCCTGTTAATACACTTTTAAGTGTACAATGCAGTATTGTTATCGATAGATACAACGTTGTCCATCACATCCCAGAATTTACTCATCTTGTATAACTGAAATTTTACATTGTGGATTAACCACTCGCTGCTTCCCCTCCCACAGCCCTTGGCAGCCACAATTCTATGCTTTGCTTCCATGAATTAAACTATTTTAGATATCGCAAAATAATAAAAATAAAAAATAAAAATAAAATAACATGTTTGATTTTTAGAGAAAATAAATATATTTTAATATGAAATAGTTATATATATGGCTTACTACTGCTCCACAGGCTACCAAATAAAAACACTAAGAATTCTTTTAGATTTATTTGCTTAGTATAATGACCTTGTTAATTTTTATTTTATATAGATGAGAAATATTAAGTAGTGGCACTAGAATTCTAAACTTTATACCATTCCATTATACCACGTTACATCTCTATCCTTCATATATAATAGCCGCAGTCTACACACATACACACACACACACACAAAAATTTTTTTAAACAGATAAGCTATGGGGATAGGAGCAACCTTGTTTCTGTTAATATTTTCTTTACTACATTCCAACCAGATGTCATAATATTAAATTCTTTCTCAAAAATCAACCCCTATTTAAAAAGCACCACTTGACACTGAGTAGACGATTTAAAATTAGGCAAAAGGATATAAAAATACCATGCCATTTTTGAAAAATTAAAGCAATAAGTAAGTCCTCTGTCAAATGCAACTGACATATTGAGGCTTCCTCTGAAATGCAGTGGCAGATAAATTGCCAATATACAAATATCCCCATGTGTAAATATAGGTAGCCTTTCCATGCATGTGTATTATTTTAGATAGAATGATATATTAAGCATGTGGAATTTAGATTTTGCAGGTGGGGAATCTAATCATCCATGGCAGCTGTCATAGATAGGGCAGCATATGAGAGGTAGCAGAGAAGTGTAAGTGTCAGAAAAAGACAAGTCCTTTTTAAGTATCAAGATTTCTCCAACACATGGCTTGATCGTTTATTTTTTTTTCTATTCTATAAGTTCTAATTGTCACCCTGGTATAGATATTTTAATAAAGCCTCATATGTCAAATTAAACTATTGGAGAAATCAAAGGATGCAAAATAGGTTTACAAAATGTTAAATATGGAACTGAAAAGTATTCTTTGGGGTTTGCCTCATAGCAAAAGCCAATGGTCTAAATGTACTGAATCTCTACCCTATGAGATACTGTAGACATGAGATTTTGAGAGAAGGTGGGGTGAAGAGCCAGAGGAATAGAAAGAATGACTAGCAGAGAAACTGGCCTGCTCCAAGAGCCCCTCATGGCGCAAACTAGAACCCTTAAAGCTACACAATTCAAAAAGTAGTTTTGGATTATTATGCAGCTCTAAAAGAAATACACACAAGTCTATACTGATGATTGAATACACCGGTGGACAAATGTCCTAGGCACAGAAACTGTGAATGACACATGTAGATCTTCTACCTTACAGCAGGCGGACCTTCATTCCTGACACCACCACCCAACCCCTTTCCCCAGGGGTGTTCCAGATTCAGTGACTTGCTTCCAAAAACAGGGTTAGGAAAGAGAAAACAGTAATTACAATGAAAGACGCTGGCAAACACCACCATAACCAAGTGGTGAACGTTAACCTCATCAGTGGGGTCCCATAGATATTATGAAGAGTGCTGTGATAGATGCAAGGAGCACAGCATTTCACCTCGGTGCTATTATTTCCAAAAACCCATTACCCTAGACTAATTAAAAAGAAAAGAAAGGGCAACCCAAATTGGGTCACTTTATTTTTTTCATATTACATACAATGATGCAATGAATATTTCTGCCAATGTGTTCAGTTTACAGTATAAAATTTCTCTAAGATAAATCCAGAAACCACTGTCCCTCTGCCCTAAAGGGGGACTTAAGCTTCAGCAAGTTTTCTTTTCTCTTCTCTGGGCTAGGGAGTTCAAAGCTTCATTTTATTTTTTTGATTTTCCCTGTGTCAGTTATGAAGGCTCCTTTTGACTAACCAGTTCCTGTAGGTAGGTACATTGCTAAGTAGGGCTAAAACTACTGATATAAAGAGAAAAGGGGCACAATGAACAATGTTTTATGTTACAGGAGAGATTTTAAATTTCAGCCAGAGAAATAGGATGAATTCATGACTATTGTGGGTTTTGAACTTAACCTTAGAAGATGACAATGATGTCAACAGAAAAACAAGGTTTGCAGGTGGGGGAAGTTATTATACGTGGGAGGGCAAGTACTGCAAGGACGATTTTAAATGAGAGGAAGATTCTAAAGTATGGTTGAGGACAGGGAATCAACAGATTAGTTTGGATGGCTCATAAAGTTGTGAAGAGTAGTTTTGGAAGATAAAACTGGAAAGGTATGCTGCGGCCAGTTCATACAGGTCTTCAAATGAAAGGCTAAGGGTGTTATAATTTATTCTGTAGGGAACAGAGAACAATTAGAGCAATAACGTAAAGTGACTTGAGTTGCAACAGATACGCTTTTAGCTCTCAATAACAGCCCCATATAAATTAACTTACCTAATGTATAAAGGCTTTAAATGTAATTGGCTTGTTATATAAGAGTTACTAGAGACAGTGTGGTCAGAGGGTTAGCAGAATCAATTGCTCGGTCATTTCTTTAAAGACCAATGGTTTTTCCATCAATCTGCCTCGTCACCCCCATGTGCTGATGGCATCTCCTCTCCTGAATGAAAGGTGGCTGCACCAGTTCTAAGCCCCACATGCAGGAAGCTGATGGCCCATTTAAAGCAGGGACATTTTCAACCTCGAATCTCTTTTAATCCATCAGAAAAACCTTTCCCAGAAGACTACAGATTTCCCATCAAGTACAATTTGTCACAGGCAATGACAAAAATAACCATATCGAAGGAAATAAAACAAACATGACCAACTTGGACTGACTGTGATGAACCCGAAAGGACTACAGAGAGTTATTGCTATAGGGACAAAGGCCAGTAAACACCAAAGCAGAATTGGGGCTTTCCCAGTAAAGAGGAAGATGGTGCTTGGGGGTACATGAACAAGCATATCTGCCATTTCAGAAGTATATAAGAGTTATGAGAGGAGGAAATATTGGCAAAAAGCTGGTCAATAAAGGATCCATTTTAAGATTGGTAACAAAGGCCTAAATTAGGACAGTACCGAGGATTGAAAAGATGTGATTGCTTCAAGGGACACTGGACAAGTAAAATAAAGAGAACTTGTGAAATGGATGGGGAAATAGTTGGTGACTGAGAGTAGAAATGGCCTGAATGATGGTTTTATAAGGTTTGGAATAGTAGAGATATTTAATGTAGACATAAGGAATACATAATACAGACATATAGGCATTGGGGGTGCTGAGCGGTGTCTGGATATATTAGTTTTAAGGGGCTACTAAGGTACTCAATAAAAATCTCCTACAAATATCTGAAAATATAGCTCAGGAGAATATATGGGCTATAAACACAAAGTTGATAATGAAGCACATAAATATAATTTTTAAAGTTGGGAAACTAGAGATCTTTAAGGAAGGGAAATGATAAAAAAAAAAGATTCAAGTAGGGAAACTTAAAGGAGAAGACACTAAAAAGCATATTAGAAACTGCAAACATGCAGTTAGGGAAAAATCCAGATTAACTATGTATTGCAGTTGTTATAAATATGCAAGTTCGTGTATTAAAAAGGCTGAGAAATTTGTGATTAGTCATCTGTGGCCTTATTCACTGTTTCAGTAGAGTGGACAGAGGACATACGAGATTATGGTGGGTTGAGAAGACTAGGAAGTAAACTCATAAGAACAGTGAGTGTCAACTACCTTTCACTCTTGGAGAAGTTTGGTGATGAAAGAAAAGACAGATATTAGAGGTAAGCCCACTGATTTTCTAGTTTGATAATGTTGCTTTATTCTTATTTTTTAAATATAATGATAAATGACCCCTGCCCATAATTATATATTGTACAAAATGATCTAGGAGAAGGAAATATCAAAAAGAAAAAATAATGCAAGACTAAAAATTAAACTGTTCTCAGGGGCAGAGAATGAAGATAAGGTCAAGATTAAAAGCACAGTGATAAGCTTCAGAATGGAATGGGTTTACTTATTGTAAAGAGAAGGCAAATAATAGCTGATCATTTTCTAGTATAAATGAAAAGGGAAAACATATTTAGAACATTAGAAGAGGATGGAGGAATAATTGCAGAGAATACACACCACCACCATCCGTCTGTAAAAAAAAATTGTGTTTTAGTTCCTCTTTTTATTGCATGGATTTGGTTTTAACATTTGCAGTCATACTGTGGTTACCATTTTGGGAAACATCCCTGAGTGTATACATGTTCATATGTGGAAAAAGGCAAATAAAAATATTTAATCTAGCAAAACAAATCATTGTGTGTTTGAAGAAAGGAAGAAATATACAGAGAAAAAAATCATATGAAAATAACTAAAGATTGGTATAAATCAAGCAATGGGGAGGGTCCTACAATCGACACAGAATAGATTATTATTAATTATAATCTCTGTGCCAGTCGAGCAGTCAATCCATCCCTAGGCAGCAGCCTGTTGGCAGCTGCCAGGTTGGCTTGTATACTGACGGAGATTCATCTGAAACGGAGACAAAGAGCCCCGATGGAGTTGGCGAGTTTATTACATTCACAGACAACAAAAACATAGCCAATGGTGCCAGCTCCTCACATCCCTAGTTCTGCAGACGGAGTCAAATGAGAGACAACGTGAGCGTGGGGGAGCCTCCGTCTTTAGGGAGCCAACTCTAAACCACAGTCAAGCATTTTAATAGTGTAGAGCTGTACCGAAATGAGGGTGAGATGGAAAGTCTCAGGCCTGACAGAACTCAGGAGACAGATGAGAAAATGCCTCCTAGCAGCCACTTGCAAGATAGAGCAAGAACCCCCCAACACTTGGATCAGACTGTGTCTTCCCTACGTGACCACGGTGGAGCCATGCTGCACGCAAGAGGCTGTTCAGTTTACTCATCACTTTCTTCAAAACCTTCTTCTCTGAATGTTTCTTATACTGTTATCTCCAGGAAGAACTATTTTTCTCACAAAGATCAAGTTCACATGACTTGCTGCTTTTGCTTAACAAAGACACTGACATACCTTGATTTCCTCAGGCATGATTACTTATTAAATCCCTATGGTATGACATCTGTTGTTAAGGAATAAATGAATGTATTTTCATACCTTTGTCAATGTGAAATGATCAAACCTCTATATTAATGGCTCACATCAAAGACATTAGTCTAACCCACAAGCATAAAATGAAGAGCCATATTCAAATAAAAAGGAAAACTGTTAACAGTTGAAAATAAGAACAAAAAAGATGTGCATCCAGAAAGAACCACTAATCAGAATTACCCACTCAGGATTTCTTGCAGAGGGAAATGCGGAGCAGCTTAAAATGAATGAACAGCTCACTGAGCAGGCAAATGAGAATGATTAGAAAAACACATTCTCCTACATAAAAATAGAAATATGGAAAATAAAGTATAAGTGCATTCTATACATATTTGGTTAGTTTTCTTTAATGGAGTCTGGGATTTTAGCTATTTTTTAAAGTTTGTACCTTAAAATTCTTAGGTTGACTTATTGATCCCTCAATTGCCTTTACTCATTTCCATTCCCACTACTAAAAGACAACCAAAATATACACCTTTCTGCTTGAGTCCAGATCTCTCTCTAAAGGAAAATATAAACAAAACTAAGAGAATGTCTGCACCCATGTATATGCAGGTGTGTGAGGGTTCTCCAGAGAAACAGAACCCTTAGGATACATATACTCCTAGATATATGAAGTCTGACAATTAAGTTTGCGAACTCATTCTAGAACAAGTGCTACAGACCTCATTGCTGAATATCACTATGGTCACCTTCTAAGTATTCCCCTTGGGAAGCTACACACTGATGCCAGAGCCTAGTCCACTCCTCAGAGCAATTTTGGCACTCTTTTTCTGGAATGGCCATCAGAGCTGTCATCGTATTACCCGTGATGCCTTGAATGTCATCAAAATGTCTTCTTTTCAATATTTTCTTTATCTTCAGGTAAAGAAAGAAGTCATTGGGGGCTGGATCAGGTAAGTAGGGAGGGTGTTCCAATACAGTTATTTGTTTACTGGCTAAAAACTCCCTCACAGACAGTGCCGTGTGAGCTTGTGCATTATCGTGATACAAGAGCCATGAATTGTTGGTGAAAAGTTCAGATCATATAACTTTTTCACGCAGCATTTTTAGCACTTCCAAATAGTAAACTTGGTTAACTGTTTGTCCAGTTGGTACAAATTCATAATGAATAATCCCTCTGAATCAAAAAAGGTTAGCAACACCATTGCAACAAGTTTGAGAACTTAATTGTCAGACCGCGTGTCTCACACACACATACACTCACACTCACACACACACACACACACACACACACACACACACACACACTCACATACACACACAGCTATATATGGAAATTGATTATAGAAAATGGCTCACACGATTACGGAGGCCAAGAATTCCCACAATAATCTGCCTTCTGCAAGCTGAAAAGCAGAAAAGCTAGTGATATAACTCATCTTGAGTCCAAAGGCCTAAAAACCAGGGTGCCACTGGTGTAAGTTCCAGCATCTAAAGGGCTGAGAAAGTACAGCTCTGATGTCCAAGAACAAGAAAAGATAGACTGAACTTTAGCTGTAGCACTTGGGGAAAACTGAGTACCACTAAATGAACATGGAGACAGGTATAATGAAAAGAAGCAAGGTAAGATAAGATTATAAGAACTTCCCTGAATTGGAGATTAACTTATAGAATATAGCAGAATATGTTCACTGGATTTAATGCACTTTATTGCTGTGCTTTTTCAAAGTCACGCAAAAAATCAAATACTACTTCCAGTATTTTGTATTCTATTATGTTAGTTTCAGAGAAAATGCACAAGGATGCTTGAAGGACATCCTTTTATGTTTAATGATGCCATTAGAACCAAATTAAAATAAGAAATATCTCTGTAAATGTACTATAATATTATTATTGTTTTATTATAAAGTTATCATTGTTATTAGCTGACTTAAAATACCAAACATGATATTCTTTCTGGAGCTACTCTCAACAGAAGCAGTGAATTTCAGGACAGCTCACATGTAAGATACAGTTTGTTTTGCTCAGGAGAATTCTATCTCTAGTTTTCAGTCTCTCAAGGCTTGAATAATTAGTATAAATAGATAGCTTGCATACTGAGGAGCTTTGGAACCAAATATTTTTTGAAGTTTTTTGTTACTGGTGATAAGAGAAAAGAGTCCATTTCTTCTGCTGGTTTTAATGAGATTTAATTATTTTTTTGAAAAGGAGAGTACAGTAATGGGAACTCACAGGCAAAGGTATATTATTTTAGGAAAGACATGAAGAAAAAAGGTTATTTACTGCATTTTTATTCATTTTAGTTCAAAAACATTTTAAAAATTTATAAAAATGAAAAGTTTGAAAACTGAAATTATGGAATTTATTATGTTGGCTATCTTCCCAATTAAGCAGTGTACTGTTTTCCAGATCTTATGGGGATAATAAAACGGCATGGGAAAAATATGCTAAAATATTCCTGTCTTGTTTATTTATTTTCTCCTCTTCATCTTTCTTCATTTTCATACTCTTTCCAGTTCCATTCTGTTGTTTTCTCCTCATTTTCCTTTTTTTGTCGCATTTCAAGACCATATTAAAAAGGCATTTTGAATAACAGAACAGCCACATGAAGACCAGCCCTACTTCTCAGTATAGAGGGAAAAATCTACAGAACAATGAGTCCAAACAGAACCACTAAGGGCACAGCCTATGTTATGGACACATCTCTACTCTATGACTCAACCGAAAAGCAAGCAATGGGTAGGTATTCATCTCAATGGAGAAGATCCTACTTCTCTTTTGCACACTTTGGTAGTGATGCTCACAGGTGCCATTCTTCGAGCCTACTATCCTGCCTTTCTCAGTGACTGACTGCGGCGGGGGGGCGGGGGGGGGGAACTGCACAAAACCCCCCATGGGCCTCCTTTTGTCTCCACTGCACTGGTTCTTACTTACTCCCACAGCAGGCTTCTCTTTCACCCAACCATCTCATTTCTCTGTAGGTGGCATTAAATTGACACCATTGTGAGAAAGGAATCATGTCTGGTTGCCATGAAGTCTAAGATCTCTCATGTGAGGATAGCATAGAGCCAAATTGCTACAGTTTTCACAATTGCTTTTCCGTCAGATATTAAGCTCCTTTAAAAAAAAATCAGAAAATGACTAGAGGTCACTTAAATAGGGTTAAGTATTTTAAAGTGAATCAAATTATAGGGGAAATAGAATTCAAGAAATAAATATATATCATTATAACTTGGTATTTCAAGAGGCTCTTGGAATCTTATTTAAAGTCTATCCATTTGAAAAGTGTCAGAGAACATAAAAGCATAAGGGAAATTTTTCATTTTAATCCTTTGGCCTATAACGAGCAAGGAGAGTGAAAGAACAAAGATATGAACAAAAGAAAATAATTCGGGCACAGCCGTAGAGCAATGACAAATTCCTCCTGAATCACAGAAGACAAGAAAATTTAAAAGATTGATAACTCTCAATGTAGTATAAATCATCTTTTCCATCTATCAACCTGGGCCTATCTATCTATATTGTTACTGAAGAAAGTATCATTTTTTTTGACAAGCGGTTGCTCTTAGCAACAAGTCATCCTGATATTTTCTTTGATTATAACTAAAGAGCAATATCCATTCTTGTTACATGGGTGTAAAGTATAATTTAAAGCTCATTAAAAGTGTAGCAGGTGTTCACGTTTAAAGTGCAAAAAAAAAAATAGAGGAAAGAATTTCTCTATGGCTGAGCTGTCAGTGCTCTAAAAGCCTAATTTATTTTGCATAACCTTTTAGCAAATAGACATGATTATAATAGAGAGAAGAGAAATGGAAACAATATATGCAGAAAAGTAAAGGGACTTAGCCTTTTGATTTGACCTTGATTCCCAGCCTTTGAAAATATTACAGTCTTTTAACAATTGCAGCTTTGACATATAACACACTTTTCTTCCCAGGAGATAGAAGTTCCTCAGACATTCCCTTAGCATAAAAGCTGCTATAAAGTAGAAAATGAGTAGGTGCATAAACTGAAACAGAGTCAGTTTATATTCATTGCAAAGCAGGGAAGGGAATGAATGTTCAATCGTCCAGTCCTTTCACGGGTTCGTTTTCATGTGGAAAGTTCTGAACGCTGCAGAGAGAAAATTCAAACTTCAATTCAAAAGTGAGTGTAAGTCTAGCAATTGGAACTATACCTCAATACCTCCCATTGCTGGCACAAATTAGGCAAATGGTGAGAAAAAGACCTAAGTGCATCAGATCTAAACAGAGGACTGAAAAAGAAAGTTATAATTGTTAACACAATGACACTATTTGAGCTGTAGATTTGCATTGCCCTTTCAACCAGAAACTCTGATGAAAGCCCTGGATTGTTAGAGCTCATTGGGATTTGAATAATTCAAGGTATTAATATTTTTCTCCTTTTAGGGAAAAGAAAGAACCATATTTTTTAAAGGCAGGGACATATAAAGAGGAAGTTGCAGTATTCAAGAAAGAATAGTGAGAAATAAAACACAGCTTAATTGTGAGAGTTTGGATATTACTTTCTGGGGCTTAAGGCTGTTAAAATTAACTTTGTGAAACATAAAAGGCAAATATTCATAGCAATGCAAATAAATATCTGAAAGTAAAATTCGAAACCTTAACAAAACCCAAAATGGGTTGAGGAAGGATAGAAGACAAGTGTGTTCAAGGCCTCACTGTGTCCAGCATGTCGGAGTGGAGGGAATGGTCAGGGAGACTGTTTCTTTTCATTTCCTACAGAAGAAGTTTGCCTCCTTTTTCCACCAATGTCATTGGAGAACTTGGTATGTTAAAGAATGTGAAGTAGCTATCATATATGTATCTAAGAGTTTAGTGCAGAAGTTCTAAAAAAGTATTTTGTTTGGCTAGAATAATGAGCCAATAATTTACCTAAAAATAGGTATCTACATACCACTGAGCAATTAGATCTTGTAACACTGGGGTTGCAAGCCAAAGTTGGTTATATACAAAACTTCATCTGACTTGAGAAACAATCGCCCCTCTCCATCCAGCCCATTAGAAATAGTCAATGTCTTCCTAGGTATTCCTAAGTTGTCACAATGCCCCTTGGTTAAATGCCACCAGTTACCTTCAGGCAGCTCTGCGCTTCTCTCTTTACTTGATTATCCTTAGTGGATATTTGAATTTGTCACTTGTAACAGAGGACAAAGTATTTTTTTTTTTAGCTGAGCCATCCTGCCACCTGTTGGCAGCTCAGCGGCTGCTCAGCTCAGGCCGGGACTCGAACCGCTGTTGCTTAGAGCTCAAACTCTTGAGCAAGCTCTTAACCAACTGAGCCACTCAGTCGGCCCAGGACAAAGTATTTTTATTTATTATTAATAAAGTCCAATTTGTTTCATTCATGCTTTCCAACTTTTTGCACATAGAAATGAATAAGCAAATATGTGCAGAACTGCACTGAACTTTTCAGTCATGACAACGAGAAAGCAGGATTTCAAATACTGCATCATCATGGGCACCTAGCTTTGGAATTTTTAAAGATGATATAGTTCCCTAGTCTATCAGGCACTATTTAGGATCAGTCTGACTTCAAGAAATGTGTACTGCTGTGGCCATTCTTATATTTCACTGCAAGTGAACTTCTACAACCATTTGTCCTGTTGTGAAATAAACACATAATGTACTTAAAATTGCAAGCCACAAAACTGCAAGCTGCAAAACTAACTCTCCGGAGTAGCTGTTTATTAGTCTGTAATTATCAGACGATAATCCGACATGGAGAGTTCACCTTTTTTGAAAACCTGATGCCAAGAATGCCTACTTGTGTCAAGTCAGCATGTGTATTTGAAGCCGCCCTTTACTTTCTGCCGCATGTGACAATATGATCACACTATTCCCCCTCCATGGGTTCTCAGTAGATTTTAGTTGCGGTTCCCTAGCAGTGTTGTTTAAGGGCCACATTGCAAATATTCCAGTGAAGTAAAATGCGCCCTCTAAACAGAATCTGCAAAATGGCAATACGGGTGTGGAGGCTGACACTATACACTGTGAGAGGCAAAGCTCTCACAGTGGATTAATAATTCCAAATGCTCTATAATGATGTTAATGAGAAATCAGGCCTTCAAAAATGTCAAAAGTTTATTGCAAGGTTTATCATAATTGAAGTAGGGATCGTTATATTTCATTGTGACATATTTTCGACCACCAGAATTATAGCCATCTTCTCTTGAGGGCCATCTCTTTTATTTGCTTTAAGATAGAATGAAAAATCTTTCATCGTAACAGTACTAGTAAGTAGGCTATTTATATAAAATACATCAATGTGTCCCCAAACTATCATTATAAGTAAAGGGTCTCCTTAGATTTTTATACTGGAGGCATATTTAATTATTTACCAGTAGTAGTTTGCACTAGATATACTCTGCTTCTATTACCCAGTTTCTAAAATTACTTTTTTCCCCTAGTCTATAAGTAGTACATGCTCATTAAATAAATTTTCTAAACACAGGATGATAATGTCTATATCCCTAAAGATAATGTTTAGGGGACCAGGAAATCACAGTTAAATAGAAATTCAAGGTTTTATAGTAGGCAAAATGGCCCCTGAATGGAAAAGTACAAGGAATCTCTACTGACTCCAGCACTTACATATAGCATCACAGGGAAATCAATAATAAAAAAAGTGGTAAGAGGACTATAAACCTCCCACTAAAAGGGAAATATAATATTTTGTTACTAATATCAAAACTCTTATAACACAATGAAATAATGGATCTAGGTAAGGACCGTCAACAGCTAAGAAAATCATTAGGCAAAATTTTGACAATGAACTTGACAACAATGAATCAGCCTGACATCACCTGAAAACATGATTAATGCTACTACTATCACATTAAAGTAAAATGTTACCAGAGGGAGGCAAGATAGACAACACACACAATATAATGAGAACTTAGATCTACTGTTGTGCTTGACGACAAAATGCCCATCTGTCTCCATAGTCAATATAAGAATAAATATTTTGGAGGCGGGGTAGAAGGATAACGATAAAAGCAAAGGGAGGGTTGCCTCCATCCCAGGTCGTGGCTCAGGGTTCTGCCAGCCTCATCAGGAAGCCCTGTGTCTAACCTGGCATGTGAAACAATGGCCGAAGAACATTTATAACGTGATGGACCAGAATTCAGCCTTATAAAACTCGTGAATGCATGAAAATGTGGCAAGGAAAAAGCCAATGCTTCCTGAGCTGAGAGCCTTGTTGAATCAAAGGGAGAGGGGAAAGTAGTTGCCCACAAGTGTTTAGAGAGCCCAGGAATCAATTGAAACCATTAACCACCCCTGCCTCCCACCCATGTTTTGTACAATGAAAGTTCAACTTCCACTTAAACAATCTATTTGTTTAAATTAATCATTGATTTCTCAAACAAGCCACTGTCAATGACTTTTGGCTAATGTTTGCATGTTTGCTTAACTCACTCAGATGGAAAAGAAACTGTGTACAGGAGGAAATCTTTTACTTGTTGAAGGAAAAATATCCACAAGTATATTAACAGAACCTAAACAGTACATTGAAGAAGCAGCTAATTCACAGGCTTCTGGTATGGGTTTTTATAGCTGTTAGCCTTTCAGCTCTTTGTTTTTTATCTTTATCTTTACCCTTGCCACATTTCCTTCCCTTTTAATTTCCAATTTATTCTCTATTATGTTCAAAACATAAAACTACAATGTACTTCTCCTTTACCTCCAAATCTGAACGTCACAGTC